GGCATATAGCTGGAGCCAGGAGCCAGATTATCCACTCCCTGAAGACGGATAGCCGATACGTCAGATATAAAATAAACCTCTCCCGGTGAATGACTTTTTTTCCTTCTGACTCTTGTATTTATCTATGCTCATTTGAAGACGTGCTTCGTTTATAAGGGAATTACCAGCAACCGTAACCTTTTACAGTTGCTTATTTAAGAGCCTAGTACGGTAGGGTGAGATACTGTACGGCATTGTAGACTGTACTATCGACTACATCCCGTGAGGGCTTACTCAATCCAGCGCCGCGTCTTATAAAACCTGTTTACGTGTTGAAAGACATTTTTTTCCTGCAGCAAGGTTAAATATTTCACGCTATTTACTTAAAGATGAAATGACTGTTGGTCTCGGTGGTTATCATAGCAAATTATTATTACTGTCGCTTGCAACGTCAAAGGCATGTCCACTCGGCGGTGAAATCCAGGATCAGCATGTCTGACATTTGACTCTTCTTTATACGTGGCCAGGGGAGTCGTGCAACAAAGGGCTAATGAAAGGCATAACCTAGACATCCTCTGCCGCTGAATTCAATGATTACAGTTGGTGGAAGCGTTGGGACTTGAGTTGAGCATGCAACCCTACAAACGTTAAGTGCTACTGATAAATGCATGGGAAGCTAATATGTCCATTCTCGACTTATTTGCCGTTTTTAACCAGCCCGGCCTCAACCCTAGACTGAAATGACGTGACGTTTACACCTGACTCCACTTGCTCATTGAGCTTACCGTTCTACGTTCCGAATATCGAGACCACACCTCATTAAGGGATTAACAGGTCACGCAGAAAGCTGTGTAGGTCCTGGACTGTCGACACTTCTGAACGAAGGAAGATACGGGAATCTGAACCCTCCCTCCCATACCGGGCCTTCTGCTGAGTTCCAATGGGGGGTATTAGGTTCACATGTTTTAGTTAATATCAATTCAAGGACTCCAATTAAGTTTAGTTTTGCGGTCAGGGTTAGTGTTTGAGCTATGCCGCAGAAATAATTATGCTTCCTGGGATTTACGCGAGATCACGCCTGTTACCGTGTTGTTTCAATTTCCGCGGCTAATTGTAAAATTTCTTCCGCCACAGTAACCAGTGTCGTTACTTATCCTGTTTATGTCGACGCCAGGAAAACCAGGTTTCAAAAGGATTCACGTTACCCTTTGGCGCTTTGCTCCTCATCTCTGCCTGTCCGGCCCGCAGTGTCCTCCTTTAATTTTTTGCTTGCCGTTGCGTGTTTTTTTTTCTGTTGCGCTACCGGGTCTTGATTATCACACCTGCAAATTTCAAAAACGCTTAGCTAACTATGTGGTTTGGAAATGGACCACGAGTTTTCGATTGAGGGTAATAAAGAAGGTTTGGGTGAGACTCTGTAGACAGCGGTTGTAAATTCGTCCG